TTTTATTAAAATATTGTGAACAATAGAGTTGACTCAAACATTGAGATTTTTTTCTTTCATATGCATTCAACTTTAGTCAGCATTCTTTCTGACTGAGTTGTAATTCAGAATATTGATGATATCAATTTATAAATCAATTAAAGAGGGAAAAAGTTAAATATTTATACCTCTGCTGAATACTATTTGCTAAGGAGCTTGGAATTTATCCTATTAGCAATAAACACTCAATTGAAAGATTTTAAACAAAAAAGTGACAAGGCCAGAATCATGTTTTATAAAGAGCTTTCTAGCAATAGTTTGTGGAAACAATTGGAAGGAAGCCAGCTAGAAAACTGCTGAAAACCATAGGTTGAAAAAAAGTGGATGTCTTTACTGCATTGCTGACAAAATGAATGAAGAGAAGTGGACAGGGATGAGAGACAAGAAGTAGAATAGCCAGTGTTTTTTACCTGTGTTCGTTGAGTGCTGGTCAGAAGCAGAAAAGAGGAGTTCAGGTTGATTCAGTTCCTGGCCTAAATTACTGAGTAGTCAGAGAGCCATTTCACTGAGATTGTGGGAGGGGCATAGGGAGACCATACCCATGAATTGTGAGCCTTGTGGGTAGTGTGATGAGTTTAGTTTGAGATTTGTTGAATTTGGGGCCCCTGGGGAACATCTGAGAAGAAATATGAGAAGGAAAGGGGACATATTATCATTGTTTTACATCTTTATCTTCCCATAGAAATCACTTTCTCCAGAAAGAAAGCACTGGAGTCTAAACAGTGCTGCCCATTAGTGTGACATGATGGAGATGTTCTCGACCAGCATGTGTCTTACTAGTGGCCACTAGTCACATGTGGCCTTTGAACACTTGAAATGTGGCAAGTAAGAATAAGGAACTAAATTTTTGATTTTATCTAACTTTTAATAATCTAAATTTAAATGTCTACATGTGGCTAGTGGCTCCCATATTAGACTCTGCAGGTGTAGAGAGTTTTCTTATATTCATTTTACTCTCTTGCTGAGGTAAAAAAGTAGGTCAATTCATTTAGAAACATATCACCAAGTTCAAAATAAAAAAAGTGATGGATTAATCAGTGAATTCAACCAAGCCAAGTCATATGTCCCTCGAGAAGTGAAAGGCCCATCATAGTGTAAGTGACGCTGAGCTTTGTCCAGTCCTACACCACCTCATGCACTTTGAATGTATGGATTATGTTGCTGTCACTGAGGAAAATGATAATGACGTAACTAATCTGTTTTTGTTACAGCCAATAGCTGCAAGTATGAAGATCTCGTTAGTAACTGTGATTCCTTGAAGAAAATAGCTGGCTGTGAACATGAATTGCTCAAGGAAAACTGCAAGGCTACTTGTCGATGTGAAAACAAAATTTACTGAAGTTCCAGTGTGCATTGCGCAAGACTAAGTGGAGAAGGGCTGCATCCTTTTGTTGACACATACCAGAGGGGAAATTATAGGCATGCTAGTTGCAAAGCTGATTCCAAACCGTAATGCATCTTTTTCTCTTGGATCTTTACAGAAATCTCTTCCACACAATGATTTACAAAAGCAGAGTAGTCTGTGATGACAACTTTGGGCTTTGATATAAATTTGGTACTTTAAATGTAATAAATTGAATCAATTGGAGATTTTGAAAGTTGTATAACCATAAGACTTAGGTCCCTAGAACTTTGGATTAAAACGAAGAATTACATGTTTCCTGAAACAACATGCCCCCCCAAAATTTACAGACTAACAAATCATTGTTATTCCTAATACATGATTTTTTACCTGTATAAAGAATTAATTCAAAGATTGACATGTACCTTTCTCTTATGGCCTCCTCTTTAAACAAAAGTAATCAGTAAGAATAAAGAACTTACCTAAGCAACCACATAGATGTGATTCTTGTGCAATATTTTATAGTATTCATAATTAGCCCTCATTAGATTCGGTTCAGATAAATGATTATACAGAGCAAAATTTCCAAAATATTTGCCGACGAAATTAAATTTTAACAAAATGGAATCAATTCTATTTTTACTTGCTTTTTGACATTTTGAACCCCTTCCTACTGGTTTAGTTGATAAAGAACAAAAACGGAGCATTATCTGACAGCATATACAAATACAATTTTCCAAGGAAAAAACAGAGAAATAATAGATACTTTAGAGAGATTTACCATTTATAAGTCTTTGTATACATTCTCATTTAGGACTGATAACAACAAGGTGAAGTAGGCCCATTTCTGGATGAGAAAATATACTCTAAAAATCTAAAAATAGTGAAGGAGGTGTTGAAAGTAGTCAGGATATAGTTCTGGTCAGACAAATGGTGAACTAGCATGAGCTGAAGATGCCTCTAAGATAAATAGATCATTGAATTATCCTATACTCATTAAAGAAATTGAATTCATAATTCTAAAGGTTCTAAAAGGGAAATTTCCAAGCTTAGGTGGTTTTACTGAAGAATTATACCAAACATTTAAATGAGTTAACATTCAAAATCAAACTTGTGTTTTACCATATTAGCCGACGAAAGAATAAAACCATTTTGTTTACCTCACTATATGAAGAACAAGCATTTGATGAAATCTAATATCCAATCCTGATAAAACTCTTAGCAAACCAAGAATAGAAAGGGAGTTTCTCAATTTGATAACAGGAAGGTATAAACAAATGTAAAGCTAACATCATGCTTAATAGTAAAAGACTGAATGTTTTCCTTCTAAGATCAGAATAAAGGCAAAGATGTCCACTCTCATCATCTCCATTAAACATTGTACTGGTTATGGCCAGTGAATCAGATAAGACAAACAAAAGGCATCCAATTGGAAATGAAGGAGTAAAACTATCCTTGTGCACAGAAGAAATGATAGACATGATCATCAATCTAGAACTAGACATACATGACACGGACACTTGATTTTGACAGTGGTTGAGAGGCACCACAATGGAGAAAGAATCATCTTGTCAACAAATAGTGCTGGAAAAATTGATATCCATATGTTAAAAAAAGAAAAAACAACTTTGAGCCAGACTTTGCACTGGATCCAACAAGTAACCCCAAATCTATCAGAGACCTAAAAAAAGAAGGCAGAAGACATTCAGAAGAAAACATAACATCTTTGAGGCTTCTGGTTAAGCAAAGATTTCTTAAGTACAATGTCAAAACAATCTATAAAGGAACAAAATGATGACTGGACTTCATCAAAATGAAAAAAATCTGTTTTCCAAAAACACTGTTAAGAGAATGAAGAGGCAAGGCCCGCCCCAATGGCCTAGTGGTTAAGTTTGGTGTGCTCTGCTTCAGCTGCCCGGGTTCAGTTCCTGGACATGGACACACACCACTGTCTGTCGGTGGCCATGCTGTTACAGTGGCTCACATACAAAAAAACAAAAATAAAAAATAAAGAGGAAGATTGGCAACAGATGTTAGCTCAGGGCAAATCTTTCTCAGCAAAAGAAAAAAAGAGAAAGAGAATGAAAAGGCAAGTCAAGGATTGTGAGAAATTGTATACAAAGGATCCATCGAGAAAAGAATTTGTATCGGGAATATATGATGACTCTTATCAGTATTGATAAGAGATATGAGATTGATAATCATTATTATCAATAATGATAAAACAAGCAACCCAATAAAAATGGGCAAAAGCCTTGAACAGAGACTTCACAAAACACTATGTACAGATAGCAAATAAGAATATGAAAAGATGTTCAACATTATTAGTCATTACAGAAATGCAAATTAAAACCACTATGAGATACCGCTACACAAGTATTAGAATGACTAAAATGAAAAAGATTGACTATACAAAGTGTTAGTGAAGTTGTGGAGGAACTGGATCCATAGTACACCCCTCCTGGGAATATAAAATGGTGCCATTGTTTTAGAAAACATGTCTGCAGATTTCTTAAGAAGTTATATCTTAAGTTATATCTACCATATGATCCAGCCTTTCCATTTCTATATACCCAAGAGAAAAGAAAACATATCTCCATTCAAAGACTTGTACATGAGCAACCATAGCAGGTTTATTTGTAATAGCCAAAACCTAGAAATAATTGAAACGACTGGATAAACAAATTATAGTATATGCATATAAAGAAGTATTACTTAGCAAATAAAAGGAATCTACTATCGATATATCCAACAATACTGATGAATCTTAAAAGAATTAGGCAGAGTGAAGAAGACAGACATCGAAGTGTACATACTGTGTAATTACATGTATATACAAGTAGAAAATGCAAACTGCAGTGACAGAAAGCCGATCAGATTTCAACCTCTTCATTTAGAAAATGAGTATAATCGTTACATGTACCTCATAAGGATATTTGGTAAAATTTGATGATATAGGTAAACATTTAAAATATCATAGTGTTGGTTGCAGGGTGATGTCAGCAAATGGCGTCATCGGAATTTCCAGCACTCATCCCCCCACCCAAAAACATCATTTTGCACAAGAATCTGCACATGAAAATAACTTCACAAGAGCCAAGGCTTCCAGGAGAGGAATTGCATGATCTAGGTGAGGCACAAAAATAAGAAAAGACTCAGGAAAGAGGCATACTACCTCATTTTCTTCCCTCAAACCTGAGCGGCTCCCCATGGAGAGAAATACCCTTCCTACAGGAGAAGTAGAGTGAAGTGAGCACCTGACTTCACCACAGACCTTAGAACCAGCACAGGCCAACTCCTGTAGCTCTAGGGGGCTCCGTGTGGGCTCCTGCAAACCCAGGCCCCAAGCTTACCTGGGTGCCTACAAGCTTCAGAGGTCCCAGGCAGCTTCCTCGGCTCCAGGCAGCTTCCTCAGCTCCAGGCTCCCAGTGGGCCCCCATGAACCTAGCTGCTGATGTACCCCAGCATCTGCCTACTTCCACAGCCCCAAGCAGCTCTTAGAGTTCCAGGATCCTGTCAGGCTTTTGTGAACATAGGCTCCTGACCCACCTTGGCACCAGCCAACGCCCATGGCACCAAGCTTCCAGCGGGCTCCCGCGAACCCAGGCTCCCAACTCACCCCATCTCCAGCTGTCTCCCAAGGCCCTGGGCAGCTCCTGCGGCACCAGGTGCCCCATCAGCCTGGACTCCAGGCTTTGCCTTGTCTTCAGGGAGTTCACACTGTCTTTGTCTTCAGAGAGTTTACATTCTAGTGGGATCTGGTCTCTCTTGTTCACTTCATAGCTGTATTCCCAGCACCTGAAAACATGTTTCGCATATAGGAGGGCTTCAATAAATATTGGTGGAATAAATGAATTATATCAATGAATAGGCCAACAAATAAATAAACAAGATATTGTATACTGTGTCATAAAGAAAAACAAAACAGGAACATGTAACAGAAAAAAAGAAAAGGTGAGCTATTTAAATATCATTCTCTCTTTGGAGATGTCAGGAGCAATACTGGGCTACGTAACTTCACATGTAGGATGCGTATACTCCATTCAGACTCCAGCTACCTCATCTCATTGCCATACCACATACTAAAACTGAGATAATCTAGAATTAGCGGCAAAGGTGAAGGTTAAATTTTAAGTTTACTTCTGAATTTTGTGGAGATTAATGTAATATATAGGCATGGAGTGAGACTATGGCAAGTACAAAATTGGATTAAATATGTAAAACATAGAAAATTTTTTCTTGATTTAGTGAAATTATTTAAATGAAAAATTTCCCTAAAAACATAAAATTAAGCCTATTGAGTTTTATTTTTTTTAAACTGTCTTGAAAAAAGATAAATTACATAAATATATAAATACTAGACTGGAAAAACATAATTATATGAATACTAGACTATATAAATAGTAGACAGTACAATCAACATTTAGAATAACAAGATTATTTTGTCTGTAGAAGCAAACTACGTCTCTTATTTTCAACTAAACTATATCTTATGGTTTCAAAACACAGTGAAGAAGGATGGTCAAATCATTGTATCTTGTACTGTGGACTTCCAGGTCAAAAGCTAATTTTTATTATATCTGTAGAGTTAAATATTGTTTGGAGAAGAAATAAGAACAGAAATAGATAGTGCCTGCAAAATTAAAAAGCAAATCTATACATCATACACTTAAAGAAGTAAATCTACACAAATGAATCCACAAAGTATTCAAGAGAAGTTGCCTAAAAATGCATCATGTCATGCTTCCAGTGATGTAAAAACAATCAGAAAGAGTCAGATAATATCACCTCTGGCAGAAAACAACATAAGAAAAAACATATATTGGTAACACTACAATGATTCATGGTTTTTCAATGTTTTTATCACATATACAATATTCTATACCGTCAGTCAACATATTCAATATTTTATGCATTAAATTTTTAGTTAAATATGTTTAAAATAAAAGTTAGAATTTTATGGACTGTAAACTTACAGTCAGTGCTGATAATTGTATTTATAAATGAAATAAAAGCCTTTATTGCTATTTTCATTTTGAAAGCAGAGAGAGGCTGGCAAAGTAATTTCTGCTGGAATTATTCAGATCCAGAATGGAGGAAGAGAAAAGTAGAAGAAGCTCTTTCATTCTAGTGTAGTCAATAATTGAGAGCTAAACGATTCCATTAAAAGCTGAAAAACTCACCAGGAAAATAGTAAATAAAACATGATTAAGGGCACTACAAAAGTATAAGTACAAAGGTAACTACTAAAAAGAAAAGTAAAGGGACCGGCCCCATGGCTGAGTGGGTAAGTTTGGGGTTCTTCTTAGGTGGCCCGGGGTTTCGCAGGTCCGGATCCTTGACGTGGATATGGCACTGCTCATCAGGCCACATTGAGATGGCGTCCCACATGCCACAACTAGAAGGACCCACAACTAAAAACATACAACTGTGTACCAGGGGGCTTTGGGGAGAAAAAGGAAAAACAAAATCTTGAAAAAAAAGAAGTAAAAACTTGAAGCCACAATATTTTTGTAAAAAGGGCAAAGCAAATACATCATATAAAGAAACAAAGCAAATATAATGCAATGCACATAACAATTATAAGGTAAAACTATATGATAGAGTTGAAAAACAAATCAGTCATATCAACAAATATGAAAGAGCTTAAATCAATTACTTTACAAAAATTTCAATTTGGCACAAAACAGAACCCAAATATATGCTTTATAAAAGAGTGATTCAGAAAGATAATTTACCAAAGGAAAGTTATAAACACCTATGCACCAGATAACATTAAGGCCACCTTATGAAAACTGTAGGAGATGCAAGGAGACATAAATGGGAACATACCAACAACAGGACACTAACACACCACTCCCAGTTCAAGAAAGATCAAGTGGATAAAAAATAAATAAGAATATAGAAGACAGAAAAGATTCACCAAGACAAGAATAGCAATTATACTTTCAAATACACAAAACATATTTAAAGATTGATTATATATTAGATCACAGAAAAATGTCAAGCTCCATAAAATAGAAATATAAAAAGTACTTTATCATTATGCAATGAAACCATAAATTATGAACAAAATCAAACTCAAAAAGGCCTTTCTACCTGGAAATTCTAAAACCCTCTATTAACCAAGTTGTGGGTGACAAGGGAAATACAAATTACAGAATATCTATAAAAATAATGGTAATAAAAATATTATCTATCTGAATTTGTGGAATGCCCTTAAAGCAGTGACAAGAAAATTCATTGCCTTAAACATTTTAATGAAAAAATGAAAATAAATAATCCCAATTCAAAAATCTGGAAAAAGAACAGTAGAGTGGGGCCAGCCCAGCGTCCCAGTTGTTGTTTTATAAATACTAAGTACAATTTAATATTGTCTAATTTTTTCTTTTTAAAATATGGGCTGTCATTTTGTTAGCCAATGCAAAGGACAGCAGACAAACATATGGCCAAAGTTAGGCACTCTGCTTTTGTGGCCCGGGTTTGGTTCCTGGGCACAGACCTACATCACACATCTGTCAGTGGCCATGCTGTGGCAGCAGCTCACACATAAAAAGAGAAAGATTGGCAGTGAATGTTAGCTCAAGGCGAATCTTCCTCAGGAAAAAAAAAAAAAAGAGTAAATCTAAAGTTAAAGAAAGAAGAAAATAATAGTCATAAAACAGAAATTAATGAAATAGAGAACAGAAAATCAGAAGATATAATTAATAAATCAAAATTCTGTGTTTCATAATTTAAAAAATAGACAAATTATTAGCTAGCTTAATAAAGAAAAAAAGATAAAACCAAAAATTTATCAAATAAGATGACAAGGGAGAAATAGCTAGTAAAATAGAAAAGAGAGAGAGAGAGAAATATTAAAACCTCTATGCAAATACGTTTAGATACCTAGAGAAAAGAACAATTTCTTAGGGAAATAGAACTCACACAGAATGACCCTATTAGAGATAGAAAGATTAAACTGGCCATTGGCTATATAGAAAAAACTATCAAGGAACTATCACTTCTCAAAGAAAAAGTGTGTGTGTGTGTGTGTGTGTGTGTGTGCATAATCTGATAAATAAATGGACAAAGAACATAAATATATTAAAATTGGTTGCTAAACATATGAAAAGATTTTCAACTACACTTATAATAAAAGCAATGGAAATTAAAACTACACTGAAATAGCATTTTTACCTCTCAGACTGAAAAAATCAAAAAAAAATTACACTCTGGTACAGTTTTTATGGTGGGGAATTTGACAATATCTACCAAAACTACATGTGCATTTACCCTTTAACCCAACAATCCTTCTAGGATTCATCTTTAAATCATTTCTAGGAATTTCATATTCTTCTCACGACAACATGAAAATACATATGTGCAATGTTATTTATTAAAATAATTTTGTAACTGCAAAATATTGGAAATAACATATTGTCCATAAATAAACAGTTGGTTGAATAAACTATAGTGCATTCATACAACGTAGTACTATGCATTTTTTCAAAAGAATGAGGATCTTTATGAACTAATATGGGGTACTTTCCAGGTATATTATTAAAAATAAAAAAGAGCAAAATGCAAAAGCATTTTTACAGTATTCTATGTGTAAAAAAGAACGGCAAATACAAAAATACACATGTACTTATACATTTATAGAAAATGTACATGCAACATAGGAAGAGTATACCAGAAACCAATGAGATTGTTTATCTACATTGGTTGAGCAAGAATTGGCTAGGCATGATGGAGGGTGTCAAAGGAGTGGGAGAAAAATAGAGGGAGTGCTAATTCTCTGACTATTCCTTTTTGCATAGTTTTAGAGTGTGAACTATGTTAATGTCTCACATATTCTTTAAAATAAAATATAATCAACAAGAGTGGGGAGGAAAATCCAGAAACGGAATAGAAACAAAAACAAATTAAACTATATTTCAAACACATAAAATAATCATCATAAAGGGTGAAAAAAAGAACCAATTCAACTAATATTTGAATGCCATATTTGGACTGTCTTCTATATTTATATAAACAAATGCTCCACTTTAGTAGATAAGGTTTTGATTTTTTTGTTTGTTTTTAACATAGACATATGGGTTAGTAGTTCCGAAACTACTATGTATCCTATGATTGAATAAATAAATAAATACATTATGAATAATGGGAGCCAGATCTCTCACTGTTGGAGAAAGGCTTTACACACATGGAAAGGAGGAATACACAAATAAACCTTGTGTTGTTGTTTTTGAATTGGAGGTATTGGTAGGAATTTATGGTTTTTAACAGAGTTGGAATGAGTTTCTAGGGAAATATCAGTGAGCAAAGCAGAAGGAATTCCTGCCCTTATGGATGGATAATCTTTGAAACTGGGAGATAAGAACATAAGGGTTTCCAGCCACTAGGGTCACAAACCACTCTTTGGGATGGTAAAAATTATTTATAAAATGTAATGCCAAAGGAGGAAATGCAGTCTTACCACTTTTTAATGATACCCATTGTGGCTTTGAGTTAAAGAAAATTCCAAAAAACAAAAATTCATATTGGCTGCCTCCTTAGCCCTGCAACATTGGCAGCCAGCATCAAAGACAGTGGTGGCTGAGTGCCCATTGGGGGTGTCAGCCAAAGGCAAACTCATCTTTGATATCTGGAGCTACTGGCAACATGCTCACTGAGAGTTCCCAGTCGTCAGAGTCCTTAGCATCCCAGATCTGTGAAAGAGACTGGAGGAGAAGAGTAAGAAAAGAGCAGATGCCATGTGGGAGGTGACAAGATCTGTTAGTTAATCTTTCAGAAAATCCCTCAGGGCCTAGGGGCACCGAGTAGTTAATTGGGTGAAAAGTTTAGAGTTTATGGCTCTTTCACTTGAAGGTAGAGGGGAACACTATCTCTACCTGTTACACATATAAATGCACACGCACACATGAAGACAACTAATGGGAACTACCTTAAAACCCAAACCCAAGGAAATCTATGAAAAAGCTACTAGAACTAATAAGCAAGTTTAGCAAGGTCACATGATTACAGGGCAGAGGGGAGAACAATTTGCATATAGAGGAACAGGTTAAGATTACCGTGGATTTCTCAGCAGAATCCATGCAACAACCTAGTCCTCCTAACTCTCAGGCATTTTCAACACTGCTCCTTTTAACTCAGCACACTGCTAATTTCTGATTCTACTTGAGTATTCAGGAGTACCTGTAGTGTTCCTGTCAATAATGGAGATGTGCTTTTCCATGCACTCTCCAACACATGTAGACTCGAAACCTGCAAGCTTTCTTCTATTCCTAATTTGCCCTCCATACCAAACTCATCATCAACACTGTTTTTTAATCTCTTCCCATCCCACCCTTTTGTGCAATTGTCTAGTGCTTTAAAATTAATATGGGAAATTGTAATCACGCTCTTATTTTTCCTATCACCAATTTCTCAGCTCTGCAAATCACCCTGCATAATGCTATTAGGTAGCCTTCATGAGGTAATATTTGATCACATACTTTCACAACTCTCTAAACATCAATGAAATTCCTTTCCCACATTATACAAGCAAGCAAATCTTCTTAGACTTCTATACAAAATTTCCCCAAGATTTTCAACAGTCTGTTATTCTGACTTAAATATACCTTGTGATACATTGATTTGTCTGTTTCTGCTCTCCAACCAATTATAAAAAACTCTTTTTTCTTTCTGATGAAGTCATATACATTTTTCTAAGCGGTTCAAATGTCACTCTACCATTTAGTTTTTACCTGAATAATATCAACTCACAGAACTCCCAATTACTGTGTACATTTTCTATTTCAACTACTTAGCACTAAACTACCCTACCTGGTAATGTTCATATATATGTATCTTTCCCATAGTATTATAAGTCTTAGAGGAAAGAGAGGGTGTGTTCTTTTCTCTGCATTCCCTAAGAATCTAGGCCAGGTCAATATTTATTCACTCAACGAATATTTACAGGCTCCCACCTATGTCACTGGTATTGTGCTAGGCTTTGGAGACATGGCAATAACCAAGAGAGACATAGGGAATTTCTCAAAAACATGTTCGCTGACAGTATCTATCACTACAGCATTCAAGTTGCTATCATTCTGACATCATCTATGGGAAGAGGTAATAATTATAGGTATGGTGTCTCCAAGAATGAAAAATAGAATATTCACAGTAAATTATAGGATCATAATAAATTATTTTGCACCAGAAAAAAGAACATATTGTACCAAGCAATTCTATAAAAAGGTGGCTGGCAATTTTGTGGATACAGGCATCTGAAACACTAAATTAGTAATTTAAGTAAGATATGGTGTAAACATGAATATAAAAGTGAGAAAGAGAGATCCAGGGAAGTATTTCCTAAACATTCAGAAAGGCAAACTGTCAGGAGGGAATTTTGATTGAAAGCAGCCGTAAGAGTAAAGCAGTCTAGGATGACTTCTAAATTCCAAGATTTTTTCAGTCAGTGATACTCAAACTGTAATAGCAGTAAAGGAGAACCAAAATAACGTCTATGCATTGGTCACTTAAAATTTTAATATTGCTAAGAGAAAAACGGCATTCAGCCCCATGAAAAATGGCAGTTTGTTGTAGTTACGGTTGAGCCTAGGTGAATCTCCAGGGTTGGAATGAGAAATTTCAAGCTTCTTTGCACTGCTATGGAGAACCAGCATGTGATGAATGTTAATCTTTGGTTTGACACCTTCTGACTCAACCAGTCCTCTAGGTAATGAGTTAATTTATTCCTTTAAAACTTGAAAACAATTAAGCATAGAAGAAAACGCACCTATTACTCATCCGCCCTCTGTGAAGAGAAGCAACACGTCTTCAACCACACCCTAAAAGACCTGCTGAGCTTGAAGCCAGAAGCCTTAGAGCAGGAATTCTGGGCATCTTCCTAAGACTTATTCCTGTTACTCTTCTTGAACGTCTTAACCACAAAACTGTCGCGGAAGGGAAGAAGAAAGGCAAGAACAGGAAGTGTTTATGAGCGAAGCTGCAAAATGCCCTTTTTATCTACATAACCCTGAGTGCGCTGTTGGCACCACACTGATGTTTTGCTGCAAACATGTCTATGGACTTTTCCAAACAGCTCTTTCAATTCTGACTCGCATTAATTTAGGAGATTTTGTCTGAAAAGGAACGCCTCCTTTTTCAGCCACGCCCTGGGCATTTCGGATCCTGATATTATCTTCATCCTCCATCTAGTGTTCAGGTGTGTGAGCAGACATCTACCTTCCTCATCAAATGAAAGTAATGAGAGAAACGCAGAACTCTGCTTTTCACAAAGGAAAGTGCGTAAGATTTTCTCGGTGCAGCCCTAGAGGGCGTTGGGGTAGTTGCAGGAAGAATTCAGTTAGCCAATGACTGCGCTGAAGGCATAAAGCCCTATGACGTCGCACGCACACACGCACGTGGTAGCCCGGGTATCTTATTCTCGCTGTAGGAGGGGAGAGTAGCCGTTAGTCTCTGGCTCCGGACCCGCAGCAGGAAGATTTGGCAGCTGGAGCCAGGGTAAGAATTAGAACTGGTGGGAAACTGGAAATGACCAGGGCCTGGGGGATGGGGTAAAGACGGGAGAGCGAAAGATCTGTGAGGCGAGGGCTCTTCTAATCCTTTATGCCTCTTCGGCATTCTGATTGGCACATGGACTGATTCAGTGCGTGTGGATAGAGCGTTGTTTTGTTGCTTAGCATAAATCCACCAAAGACTTTCAATATGTCTCTCTCTGTTTATCCTGTTGAAACTCTTTACTTATCTTAAAAGAGAAGTCATTCTATGTATGTGAATTGCTCTGTCTTAGCAGAAGCCTGAAGTCATTTCTAAATCTGGCCTTTGATAAGGTGAAATCAAGAACTTTAGTTTCTTGTTTATGTTTTGAATGCACAGTTATTACAAAGTGTATAATAGAAACAACTGGCATTGTGATCGTTGACTCTTCTAGACTACTGTCATCTACGACTTTCAAGAAAAGACATGAAGAGATATAGTTGTGATCCATGTAGTAAATGCTCAGTTTGTCGGTGATTACTTATAGAAATTATCTTCTAAAGGGTGTATGGGTTGGAGGCCTAGGTAAGGAGCTGTGAGTCTTGAAAATGTGCTGTGACATTCCAAGGAAGTTAGTCAACCAACAGTTAATTGAACTTCTTTAAGAAGCCTGTTTCCTTGTTAGTGTTTGAAGGAAATGCCAGGATGCCAAACCACAATCTGATTTCAAAAGGAGATTATAGTCTTAATGGTGAGGTAAGGTAAATACAGTAAAGCAGTAGAGAGCAATACATAACAATTGGGTCAAATTTTAAGTGTGTGGCAGAGATTATTGATATCACCTATCTACTCTTCACATCTTTATTTTAAATATCCTCTTTTTCCCCATTCTAGGATTATGAAACCATACACCATCCTCTTCCTGTAGATGCCCTGGGAGACCCATGTTATCCTGGTCTTAAAACACCTGCAAGAAAGGGCACTTTTCCATTAGTAAGTAGCAAGGAAAAAAATGGCAGCCGCCTTTTAAACTGTGTATGAATGTGCGTTTAAAGGAATAAAATATGATCAATTTTTCTTTAAAGATGCTCTCAACAAAAGTGTCATTGCTTTCATTGATGCAACAAAGATGATTATAGATTGACTGAGTGAGGGTTTGGGGGAGAGGAGAGTGTCAAGGAGGAGTATGTGGCATCATGGTCTATTGAACTATGGAATTGTGGGTCATTTATTGCAAACCTATTAGATGACTGAGCTAAACAGAATCTTCAGGCTCATGTGTATGTCTTTCAATGAGCTAATGAGGATGCAACAGCTCAGGTGTTAGATTATTTTCCTAAAGTTAGCCAGAAGGTCTCCAGTAGAACTGGGCCTTGAACATTTGAATCTCTGATTAAATACTGATTTTTTTCCTGTGACACCTGGAAGTAAAAAAATCTTATAAGCACTTCTAAAATTAGCAGTTCAATCGAACAACATGCATTTATTGAAAGATCTTGTGAGCTCAGCAAACTACCATGCGTTGAAAGGGGTAATAAAAATATTAATAATTTCCATTTACTGAATATTCTATGCCAGGCATTGCATTAGGTGTTTTATGCATATTATGCCTTTTAGTTTTCAAAGCAAATCTATGATATGATAATCCACATTTTACAGAAGAGGAAAGTGAAGCTCAGAGAGAATTTCCTGGAACTGATGGTTTACCAAAGACCATACTCTTAACCGGTAAACTGTAGAAAGTTGGTAACTGGGAAGTAAAAGTTATAGAAGGCTGAGGCATGGGCGTTCAGCTATAGGGTAGGATCCTGGTTACCTTAGCAGTGATTAACCAGTCTTGAGTGGTTATTATTAAAAAATGAGGCTAAAAAGGCAGCATCCAGATTTTAGTGTGCCTAAGAAGAGGAGTGGGCTGCTTAGGGAGGGAGGACCTGTTTGACTTGTGTTAAAAGCTACATGGGAACTAAATAATGTCAAAAACAATGTCAGACAACTGGCGATGAAATTTGAAGCTATTAGTGTGAAAAATTCTGTTTTGGAAATTTACTGACTTTGACTTACTTGCACAACCAGAATTTGCTAAAACAGGAATAGGTGTATTGTCTATTGTGCTCCAAGCTTCTCTCCACCTTCCTCTTCCTACAGCTGAAGCAGATACTTCATCCTGCTCTGAGAACCAACAGTAAGTGATAATTCATTTATTTTGATGTGAACATTTTTGTCAAACGTTTTTATTTTGCCAATGATAAAAAGATATAATTAATAAATTTACCCATGACTTTCAAACTTTATGGATAAATTTTTATTGATAGAATGATCTCAAGTTAATTTTACTCTTTTGTTCACTGTATCAAATAGAAACTTAAATGAATTTTCACATTTCATTCTAAAGTAGATCATATAAATAATTTCCATGTTTGTGACTTTGAAACAACTATACTAGAACTATCTTTAATAGAAAAATGTAAAAGCATGACAATTTGTATTATATATACTTCCATTTAATGATTTTTACTATGAATATCTATGGTTATATATTAATACAGGGATTGTTAAAATGAGGATAGAATGTCTCCATTGTGCTTCAGAATGATTGCTTTTTCCCAGTTGAAACTATGTTCCTTTCAATGTGCATTGACTTTGAAGTCATGGTTGGATGAAGGCTAATTTATGACATTACTGAAGAATGTGCCATTGGCATAGGTTAAGTAACTGTTCTATGCCTCAGTTTCTTCATATGTAAAATATAATCAGACCCACCAAGGTATGAGAGTGGAATTAGACATCGGATTTTACCACACATGATCAATAAATGTTCACTCCTCTCCTTTTTATGAGCACACTGTTGAGCATAAAGGGAATACATGGAACAGGTGTCAATTGTCTGCTATTTACAAATCAATAAGGCCTGAGAAGGACCACAAATAAATTGTTTAGAATTTGCTTTCCCTCCAAGAATTTGGGAGTACTATCTCACCCAAAGAAAACTACTCAAGGCACATTCCTTTAATTTACAAAGTGAGCAATCATTGACTAATGGTGGGAAGTGAGTGCTTCCTAAATGTAGTGATGATGTTGCTTCATCTAAAGGATCAAGGATTTTTTTGACACATTGAGAAGGGACAGCATGGGCAGCCCAATGCTGAACGTCTTTTAAAAAGTTAATATAAAATCTTTGAACCAAATCATGGATTCAGCAAATGTGAACACACTAGATTTTTAATGCATTAATTGTATTTGTATTTTTTCTATACTCGGAAATTTGGAAATATAGACAAGTATAAGGAATAAGATAAAAATAACTTTCAACCCCGCCGTTGGAGGAATAACCACTAATAAAGTGTTTGCACATTTATTTCTGTATAATCACAACCCTGGAATCTTGAGTAGAGTCATGGGTAAATAAAAGGACAAACAGTTCTACTTTTCATAGAGAAGAGCAAACCAAGAGATGGTACACAGTAAAAATAAACTTTCCCCAAAATTGAGATGAATAGTCAATCCAGTACCATAATTAACTATCAAGAAGCCTGGTTTCTTCCATATTTCCTTTTCGATGGGCTTAGGAGCCATAGAACTGGGCAGAAAGAAGTGGTATTCCTAGCCTTTATAGCTTTTATATATACCTATATATAGGTATACTTCAAGGGCATCAGTCAAGTTCCTCAGTTTTTTAAATTTTTGTTGTCCCTGTCAGAGACTAGGTTGGGTCTTCCTTGATTCTACTGGCACTGTGTGATAATCTTCTCTTGTTACATTATCCATGAATTTGGGAATCACAGTTCCTTTGAGATAAGCAACATCATTATATTAGTTTTTCCCTCTTGGTCAGAGGTCCATGTGCTACATGTTTCAATGCAAACCTTTGTTCTCTTTGACTTGCTTCCCAGCAATGGCTTTCCTCCCAGTGGTGATGTTTTTGGCTGCTGTGCTACTTCCATCTTTACCCACAGAAGGAAAGGTAAGGTTAAAGTGGAAAATCTTTCCAGAGCTACCAAGGCAACTTTTTTGGGATGGCGAGGCATTATGAGAGTGGAAGGGGCAAGAGTGTCTGGTAATCACAAAGTAGTTGTTGGTAACTCAGAGCACTTAACACAGTTATCTAGATGAAAGTCTAAGGCTGAGCTGTCCAATGTCTGAGCCACTAGTCACAAGTAGCTATTGAATACTTGAAATGTGACTTGTATAAAACAAGATGTACTGTAAGTGTAAATTACACACCAGATTTCAAGATTTGTTACAAAACAAAGAAGAAATATCTCACTAATAATTTTTATATTTAATACATGATGACATGATATTTTGGATAATTAAATAATGTATCAGGTCCTTAGGGCTGTTGTAAGAAATTAACACAAATCCGATGGCTTAGAACAGCAGAAATTCATTCTCTCATGGTTATGGAGGCCACTTGTCTGAAATCAAGGCATCAGCAGGGCCATGCTCTCTCTGGAAGATCTAGGAGGCAATTCATTCCATGTCTCTCTCCTTCCTTCTGGTGGCTTCCACCAAGCCTTGGTGTTCTTTGGCTTGTGGCTGCATCACTCCAATCTCTGCCTCCATCTTCACGTCACCTTCTCTTCAATGTGTCACTTATAAGGACGCTTGTCATTGTATTTAGGGTCCACTCAGATAGTTCAGGATGATCTCATCTTGAGATCTTTAACTTAATTACACTGCAAAGACCCCTTTCCAAAGAAGGTCGCATTCACAGATTCTGGATTAGGACATGGACATATCATTTTTGCGGACTATCACTCAACCCATTTCAAATAAAATATTTAAATTAATATCACCTATTTCTTCTCACTTTTTTAATGTGACCACCAAAAAGTTAAAATTACATATAATGCTTGAATTATATTTCTAATGGACTCACTGGTCTGTGAGATTAAAAAGCTAATGATAGTCCTCCTCTCCCAAGACCTTTTCTGATTTTCTTTTTTTAATTCATGTCACTGTGATCCCCACAGAAAATTAACAATATATTTACATAATCCTAAATTAACACATCTTATTCCTACATCACCACATTTAATTTCATCAATACTTTATGACAAAATTATACGTGTTTTTTACATATAAAAAATCTAACTCTAAAGATCTTAGTGTTTTGTTTTGCTTTGTTTATTAATGGTCATAGACTTAGTATATGAGAGCCCAACTCTTGAACTCAAATCCTCTATTTTGAATATGCTACTTCCCTTAAATAATCCCAAGAACAGGGTCAGTCATCCTCTTCAGTGACTGGTGGGTAGGTGCCCAGATAAGGTGCTAGCTCCTGATCAGAAAACCTCTGAATGTGAGGAGCTTTGGCCATTGCTGCCTGCTCCCACACTCTCCTTTCACTCCAGGCATACAAGATTAGCTAGGATGCCTCAGACCATAGAATTCTGACACTGGGTCAAACGTCATTTGGCATCCAGAAATACAGTCATTATGTTGCCATAATCAAATTTTCAATCTCAAGGCAATTTATTCATCACCTAGGGCTTCATTCAAGTAGTTTGCTGTCTTCTCAATTTCTTTCTTTATGATTTCCTTTCATGGCCTTTTCTAATGCCCTATTATATTTCTTGTCCATCTCCTGATCTTCATTTATAAACTTATTTAAAAGGGAGATATCATTTAGTCTTTGGCACCACTAACTGTTTGTCGATCAGATGCTTTACATAGCCTCTGCCTAGTGTGGTTTTCAGTCCCTTCTCAGGATGCCTAGAAAACATTATTCTTCTTTCAAAACCCTAATCCAGACCATCTTTTGTGAAGCCTTTCCTAAGCTCGGTCAAGAAGAATTGATCCCTCCTTCCTTTATATCTGGTAGGTCCCACCTATCATTTCAGTTATTATGTGGCGGTGTAATTATTTATGACCTGTTGCCTGTCGAGTATAAACTCTTTAAGGAGAGATAGATAGATACTATATTTGATCCATTTTATTCTCAACACTTTTCATATTTCCTGTTGTCCAATGAAAGTTTTATTGATACTTATTTAAAAAAAAAAAAAGCATATCTTCCTCAGTAGAATTTTTACCTACAAAACAAGATGGGGTAATTGGCAGAAAATAATTACTTCTTTCTCAGGGACCAAATTTTGATGTGCTTTGAAATGAAACTACTTTACTTTAAGTAGGTTTTTGAAAGTCAATAGGAAATATCCAAGGATGTTATTTTATGCTTTGCTGTAATGCAGAGATTGACCACTACTGGTATTTCACATGTGCATCTTTTCTAACTTAGGAATCAGTAGCTGGGAATGGCCAGATCTGTGGGTACAATGGCATTCACTATTGGTCCCTGTCCTTAGGAACATACAACCAAGCAGGAGAAATGGGCATTTAAGTAAAACGTGGCAATGTGGTCAGACCTGTGTTTGCAGTATTTGGAGAGCTTTGAGAGAGCTCAGTATTGAGAGGAGGAGAGAATAACTTACCCAAAGATGTTAGGGAAAATCAACACAGGGCCTGTCTGTTTAAACTTACACTTCAAACTCTTGCTCAGGCTCATATAATATCACACCATTGTGTAAATTTAGGTCATCAAATTGCGTAAACCTTATGGAATAATTCACACACCCTACTGCACCTCCAGGCCTAGTCCTCTCCCCTCCCCCACAAAAGATACACCAAAAATATCAGCTCCTGATTTAGTACCTTGGCAGTTATATTTCTGTTATTAAAAGGAACAAAGTCAGCAATAGTCCATTAATGGATGGCTTTGCTCCCTCCAAATTACCTTGGAGATTCTTTTAATACTGAAAAAAATGTCTTTTGAGTGACCTCATAAAGTCTGCCCATAATAGGTAGAATTGTTTTACTAGAGTATTGAATGCACTTCAGCTGAACCTAAACATTCTTTCACCTAATGCATTCTAAATACATTCTTTCTCTAAATACAGACACCATGTTATCAAAGTCTAGGATGAATCTTGAGGTCCACCCTTATCCCCCTGCTGCAGCCTGATCAGATGTGAATGAATATGTCTGAATGTGCCTATTGTGTACTTTTGTGGTTATAAAATATTATCACTCTTATGTCTAGAAAAATCACATTAAGAGTTCCCTTGAAACTAGAATTTGGCATTTGTGGCCTTAGAGAAGTTTTTGATTTGTTGTGCCATGAATTACATTCCCATTCTCAATGCCTCAAACTACCTCTTTCCTGTTTGTCACAGCTTTGCATCAGATTCGTTGGCAACTCTTAAATAATAATTAATATTGGTTTGAACTGAATGCCTTTTTTAAAAAATTTTATTGAGGTCACTTTGGTTTATTACACTTTTTAAAGCGATCTTTGTTCCCTTGAATTAACTTATTCACTCTTAAATGCAATTTTCAAAGATGTTCAAAAATAACCCTAATCTTATTTCCCTTTAGGATCCAGCTTTTTCTGCTTTGTTAACCACTCAAACCCAAGTCCAAAGAGAGATTGTAAATAAACACAATGAACTAAGGAAATCAGTCTCTCCACCTGCCAGCAACATGCTAAAGATGGTAAGAGGCAGCAATATAGGGAAAGTGACGTGAACCAGTGGTGGTAGGAGCAGGTGGCCTGCAGTAACTGGCATCTCTTAAGAACTTTGTGAGTTAGCAAGTTCTGCCTCTATTTTGGTATACTATTTGACCTTGTTATGGGCCGGGCAGAAATTAATTTTCCTTTGTAACGGTTAAATGACTTGTCAAGGTTACAGGGCTATTAAGTTGGGAAGGCCGAGTTAGAAGCCAAATCTTGAGACATCAAATGTGAAGCTGCCACATTTTTTTGTTCATTATCTTTCCTAGTCTGAAATAAAGATCTCCTTTCCTTCAGGATCAGTGCCATTTAGGGTAGATAACAGCCTGCTTTCCAGGGCGTAGTCCATAAAAGCTAGATATCTCCCATATGAGCCCAGTGGTCTACAAATAGAGCTGGAAATAATCTAGGCCAGCTTATTACTATGGAAATATAGTTAGATTACTTCACATGATGATCAGTATTTAAAGTGGCACCATTACTAAAAATCCTAGGAGCTGCTGTGCTGTCATAAATAGTCAGATATTATTGTATTAGATACATCACCTATGGACTTCTCTTCATGTGGAAACTGGCACCGGGGCAGACAAAGACACACATGTACAAAACAAACGAAAAGATATTTTAATACCAATGACAATTAGATAATACATCTACAGAAATTTTAAAGTAGCGCAAATCAACATACCACTCAGATAATAAAGCATATGTCTCATTGGAGTTGAATCTTTAAGTGTATTTTTTTTTCCTGTGACATTTAGGAATGGAGCAGAGAAGCAACAGCAAATGCCCAAAAGTGGGCAAACAAGTGCACTTTAGAACACAGTAGTGCAGATGACCGGAAAACCAGTACGTAAATGAGTCAATATTTGCTGAATAAATGAACAAACAAAATAATATTGGATAAATAAAATAGAATGGACCATTCTGGGATGTTGCATTAAGAAGACTTTGTGAATAAATGCTGCTTTTACTGCTGTCTTTTTAAAATCAAAGTGTGTGTACCTAGAGAGATAATTATACGTACCATTTTGTTGTTGTTGATTGTTTGCATTATGCAAATCATTTCTTAAGCAATATTTTATTTGTTCCTCTCAACCAGCTCATAAGTAAATAGTTCATGTATCATCATTTTTCCAATTTTAAAGATTAGAAAACCAGGATGTAGGAGGAATGACTTACCCAGGAACGCAACCTGAAGTAGTGACATATGTTGGAAAGTTAACCAGGCTTTCTGATTTCTAACCCACTGCCCTATTTGTGATGTTATGTAGCTGTTTGGTGTTTTGAAATCTGTTTATTTTGTATTCATAAACTATATTGAATTATGTTAAATTGTTCCTGAATTTTGCTCTAAAAATATTTAACCTTTTTTAATCAGGATGAATATTTTGGGTATGTTGATTCATTTTTTAATTTTTGACAACTGTCAAGTATTTTGTGCCTGTAATGCATAGAAGAATATATGTGACTCAAAAAACTGTGACATATCTTTTCAAGGATCATAAAAACTATAAGAGAAAAAAATTTTATACATGAACTTTACATAAATTATTTATTTACATTTTCAAGCATGATATACATATAAGCAAGCTCAATTTGAAAGTATGAATAATTTACCAGTTATTTAATAGACCTATTATTTATATTATTGATGCTAACATTATAATGAAATTATGAAGAGAGATGATTGCATTCAGTAGAAGATTGAAATAAATGGTCTAGAAGTTCCAAGTCTACTGTTAGATTCTTTATATCTTTCCATCCCTATTAAAGCAGATATCCAAGAACACTTTATATTCTCTTTAAGCAGCATGTGGATGTCATATTTAAAGCCACTAAAATGTAAATATTAAATGAGTGCTTGAAAAGATAGGGAGAAGTTTCTGAGGTGCAAGGTGCTTCTTTCTTTTTTCAATTAGGTTTATTGTGGTAAGAACCCTTATTTTTATTTTTTTATTTTATTGTGGTAAGAACACTGAACATGAGATTTACCCTCTTAACAAATTCTCAAGCGTACAATACAATATTGTTGACTATAGGTACAATATCATACAGGAGATCTCTAGAACTTATTCATCTTGCCTACCTGGAACTTTATGCCACATTTTCAGCCCCAGCAACCACCATTCCACCCTTTGATTCTATGAATTTGACTGTTTTAGATACTTCGTAGAAATGAAATCATGCAGTAGCTGTCTTTCTGTGACTGGCTTATTTCACTTAATGTAACGTCCTCAAAGTTCATCCATGTTGTCGCATGTTGCATAATTTCCTTCTTTTTTCAAGGTTGAATGATCTTCTCTTGTGTGTATATATATAGATATATATACCACGTTTTGTTTACCCATTCATCTGTCAATGGACATTTAGATTGTTTCCACATTGTACATATTGTGAATATACTGCAAAGAACTTAAGAGTGCTAAATCTCTTCAAGATCCTAATTTCAGTTCCTTTGGATAAATACTCAGAAATGGATTGCTGGAAAATTTGATAGTTCTACTTTTAATTTTTTGCAGAACCTCCCTATGGTTTTCCACAGCAGCCACACCATTTTGCTTTCTCACCAACAGTGTTACAGGATTCCATTTTCTCCACATCCTCACCATCAATTGATGTCTTCTTTTTTTTTTTAATAGACATCCTGACAGTTGTAAGATGATACCTCATTCTGGTTTTGATTTGCATTTCCCTGATGATGAGTGACATTGAGCACCTTTTTGTATACTTGTTAGCCATGTGTGTGTCTTCTTTGGAGAAATTTCTATTCAAGTCCATTGTGGTCAGAAAAGATCCGTAGTCAGTCCCTCTTGCGACCCCCAGAAAAGATGGATCTTTGGACATTCCATCCAACTCTTTCTCTTCCCAAAGAGAGGTTAAGAGCTAGAGTTTTTTGCCTGCTTACTCTGTGCTGAACCAGGAAGGGACATTATAGCAACTGCCAGCCCAAATCTCTCTCTCTTCTCACTAGTCCCAGGCAGCAAGATTATTCTACATCTTGTTAACATTCTGAGACAGGCAAATCAGATGCCAGTCCTTTGGGTGACCTCTGGAAAATTTGTGGCATTGGATGCCCAGACCAACTCTTTCCCTCCCCAAGGAGAAGCAGGAAGCTGTGGTTTCTGTCTGCTTGTCTCATCACAGGATGAGCCAAGGAGAAGAGCTATGGCATCTGCCAATCCAAATCACCGTCTCTGTTCTCCCCCAGGGGCAAGACTGGGCCAAACCCATCAGAGCTCCCAAACTGGCAAGACAGATGCCAGTTCTTAGGGCAGCCCTGGAAAAATTGAAGCATTGGACGAACTCTTTGCCTTCCCAGGTGAAAGCTGAGAGCTAGAATTTTTCATTTGCTTGCTCTATGCCGAGCCCGGAGGAGGAGTTACGGCGTCTATCAACCCAAGCCACTATCTCCATTCTCCCCCAGGTGGTTAGCCTGTGCCTGACCGTCAGAGCTCCTAGACTATCAAGACAGAAACCAGCACACTGGGAACTCCCCTTGAAAAAGTTGGGATGCTGTCCCATGAACCAATTCTTTCTCTCCCCCGGGAGAAGCTGGTTGCTAGGGGGGTCTCTCCCTGATCATATGGCACTGTGCTGAAGATAGGATTCTAGCAAGAGGGTGTCCCAGTCTCCCTACAGGCTTCAGTGAGTCTGCTTTCATGTTTCTCCAGGGTACTGGAGCCTTTCGGTTAAGTTTTGGATTTCTCACAAGGGCAATGTGTTCATGAGTTGTTGCTGAATCAGTGTGTGTGTTGGGCGAGGGAGAGTCCAGGGCTTCCTACTTTAACACCTTGCTGATGTCACCCTCTGCAAGGCCTTCTTGCCTAACTCTCTCAGCAGGGTTTGGCCTTGTGACATTCTGATTTATTGATAAAGAGGAAATCCAAAAATTTTGAAAATTGTCATTCCTCCTGATGTCAGCTACCTTTTTGGGGGGGGCTCTTAAAGACTGCCTATAAAGCTTTTTCTTCAAAGTTTACACAAGATCATAATCATAAACATTAATTCAGCATCCTATATGTGAAAAATCTCTGATGAAGGTGGGGAAGAGGAGGAGAGAATAAAATAAAAGTTGGTGGCTGCCTTTTGCAAGCTTACAATACAAATCTGAGAGCACAGGAGGCAGTACACATGTGAAGAATTTAGCATGAAAAAGAATGCATCTTTGACAGTCCAGAAGGAGAAGGATTTTTAAAGGGTAAGATCTTCTCAAGCTGCTCAAAGTTTTCATGTTGAGGCCAGCCTCAGTGTACTGGGAAGATCTGTCTTATATTCAGCTTTATAGCTGATAAGGAATGTAAGCACCTTTTATATATTAATTAATAGTTAGCAAGTATAGGCACTGTGTTTGAAGGGCAAAAGCCTTTGGTTCACTGAGTTGATTTCTTTTGCCATCAAATGCTTTAGTGCTTTCCTCATGAATGATCTGTTTCTTCTTAGGTACGAGATGTGGTGAGAATATCTATATGTCAAGCGACCCTACTCCCTGGTCAGATGCAATCCAAAGCTGGTATGATGAGAGCCTTGACTTTACCTATGGTGTAGGACCAAAGAGTGCCGGTTCAGTAGTTGGACATTACACTCAGGTAAGGGAAACAAATTAAAATACTTTTACCGTAAATGCTGTAACAGAGAAAACTTCTCCAAATTATGACCAACTCCAATGATTTGGGGGAAGAGCCCGAGTAGGTATAATGCAAATAGTCCTGGCATTTGGCTGCTACTTCATCTAGAGCTGTCGTCTTTTTCCATGGCCTGCAAACTCTTGGTAGGGAAGTAGACTCGGTACTTTCCCAACATTATAAATGGATAAAGTAGTGAACCTACATGAAAATTTAATATTTTAGAATTTTGTGACTTTGTTTCAATCATTTAACTAAATATTTCCATCAGGTACATGGTTATAAACGACAATAGTAATGGTTTTTCAGTTATATATTTGCTTCTGTTTTTTTTTTTAATATTTTCCCTCTTCTTTAATGCACTATCATATATTCCTTTATGGATTTGTAGGCTGTTTGGTACTCATCTTACCGCGTTGGATGTGGAATTGCCTACTGTCCCAATCAAGAAAGCCTAAAATACTACTATGTTTGCCAATATTGTCCTGTGTAAGTATACACTTAAGAGTTGAATGCCAATAACTTCATCTGTGATTTAATATTTTAAAACTCTCATTTACTAGATAAACCAGAATAAAAAGCATATTTCAGTAAAGGGAAAGAATAAATCTTTGGAAATGTTCTTTAAGCTGAGATACATTCAGCTTACCAGAGAGGAGACTAAGTTCTCAGTTCCAAGTTTAAATTTGAAGCCTTTTCCTCAATTATAAATTGATCGCCTTTCCCTGAGATTCAAGGTTATTCCGTGAGCGTGTGTAGTGTGTATTTCTCTGGATTTGGTATCGTCAGTTCTAGCTAATTTCACACTCTAGGAAGCTGGCAGCTTGATGGTTAAGCAGGGGGTGGTAGTGGAGTGGCAAATAAGGGATGGCAAATTGTGATTTCAGCCCTTTCTGATAAATGTTCCTACTCCTGCTTTGAAAACCACTTAATGTTATTAGCATCAGAAATCATTCATTCTTTTGGGTCTCAAACATTTTTCAACAAATCTTTGATATATTTCAGAGCCCTTAAAAAGGTAACATCTTAAATCTTTGTTTCTCAGAAGTTTTCACAGAAATACTCCATAATGAACCAACCCTTAAGGTCTTGATTTATAGCAGGAAACAGGCTCTTTCATCAAGCAGGATGTTTGAAGTTATCCACAATAAGTACTATGGATGTATTGAAGATCTAAAGTTAATGTATCCGTTAGTCTTAATTTCTTTTAATGTTTGAAATTGCTTACCACTGGAGGCAGGGGGAAGACTTCTATAAGATTTATTTTGAGGCTGTAGATAATCCGGGGATGTAGATTTCCGGTTTGAGAGGTATGACCTCCAAAGTCATTTTCCTGTAAGCCCCTATTAGGGTTTAGTAGAAAGAATTGAAAGATCCGAGGAGAAAGCATCCAAGTGCACTGCCTGGCTGTGAGTGGGTGCATCTGGAGCCAGGCATCTGAAGTGAGAGCTGGAGTGAATAATGAGGGAAAGCAGGAGTGAGGGAACTTCCAGAACACTTTTGTATCCACTTGACAGTTTTTCCAAGAGCTCCCACACGTCCAGCTATGTTCTGTGCAGGGAGACTGAGATAGAAATGCATTGCCTTGGGATCTTGGCCCACTTGACACTATTGAGATTTGGACTCCTATGTACTTTCAAATGAACAAAATGCCAATAGGATAATGATCATCAGTGAGTTACAAGTTAGTCACTGTATGATGATTACACCTTAGATATTGCTACTTCTCAAAACGTTTTTTAATTAATGTATTTGTTTTTGCTAAACAGAAAAATCTCTTACACGCCACCTCTAGAAACTCATAAACCTTCCCCAGCTCTCTCTGCTCCACAAACACAAACACCACTAACTACTTAATATCACTATCCCCGTCTAGAGGTCAAAAATTTGTATACCGGAGCTTTACTGTCTCTGGTTCATATTAGAGAAATTATGGTATTTTACCATCTTTCAAATCTAAATTGATATTGTAACATTGAGTATTCTTTTCCATACTACAACCCCCTGCCCCAGGAACCTCACCTGTCTTTCTAGGAAATACGTTCAACCCCCAGCCAGCACATTGAGGTCTGTTGCTTTACCGATGTGACGGAGTCTATCAGGAGATGAAGAGAGTGTCGCCACATGGAAATATACTCTGAAAACTTTAGACTCTAGTTATCCCAATTTAGTTATTCAGCCTGCAGAATTATAGTCAAGGAGATAGGTCAATGTGTGAAGTATTTTCTTAATTTGTATCTTATCTGAAGTACACACTGGGAGTTGTAATTTTTCAGTTTTGCCAACATAACTAAAAAATTTAATAAGTATGTATGTTTGATGATTGATGCTGCCCTTGGAGTAGAAACTAAACAGCAAAGTGAAAAATATTTGACATTATGTATTTTAAATTTCAGTGGTAATAATGTGAATAAAAAGAACACCCCTTACCAGCAAGGAACACCTTGTGCCAGTTGCCCTGGTAACTGTGACAATGGACTATGCAGTAAGTTTGAAGTGATTAACTTGCTATTTTAACAAAGAGTTGATATTGTTTTTTCTTTTTATGGATTAAGAAATCTCCTTAAGTAGCCAATTTAAATAATGTCTTTATGCAAAAGGAAAAATGATACTCAACAGAGTGTGTGTTTAAGCAAACATTTTACACACTTCAATAACCTACATATTATTTGTAATGAAAAGAATATTACCATATGTAAGATAATAAAACTTCTACCATCAATGTGTTTTTGTGACTATGCAGAACTTTTTAATATTAACTATATGTGTTTCTGGTAAATGGTTCATTTCGTCAAAATTAACATTATACTAAAGGTCGTATTTTGATAGAATCAAAGTGTATAAATCTAAGGATGTCAGACCACATTATGGCTCAGTCTAGACAGGCAAACCAAATATTATATTTCTTTTCTGCTGAGTTCATCATGCTGATTACTTCATTTTCTTCTATCGTATAATTGGAATCATAGTGTTTAATGTAATAAATGATCAGTTGCCCTATAATTTGATAGTAGTTTTGTGCACATTTTTAATAAAATTCCATCTCTATACAGTATTGGCTCACAGAACTCACAAACACATTGTTGCAAAAGGAGAGAATAAAATAAATGTCATATGTATCATTTCTAAAGTTGTCATAAATAGAAGTAAAAATAGCTGTTGGCATTTTATAGTTGGGATACTTTTATTAAAATTATTACAAACAATAGAGTTAATCCATTCTCTGAGATTCTTCCCCTTCAAGTGCATTCATCATTAGTTAGCATTCTTTATGACTGAATTATATAGCTATAATGCAAAATATAGAGGATATAAAAGCTATAAATCAACTGAAGAGAAAAAACATTGAATATTTATACCTCTGCGGAATGATATTTGCTAAGGAACTTGGAATTTCTCCTGTTAGCACACTCAATTGAAAGATTTTAAACAAAAGAGTGACAAGGTCAGAATGATATTTTATAAAGAGCTTTCTGGCAATAGTATGTAGAAACAATTGGATGAAAGTCAGCCAGAAAGCTGTTGAAAACCATAGGTTGAAAAAAAGTGGATGTCTTTACTGCATTACTGGCAAAATGAATGAAGAGAAATGGACAGGGGTGAGAGACAAGAAATGGAATAGCCAGTATTTGTTACCTGTGCTGGTTGAGCGCTGGTCAGAAGTAGAAAAGAAAGCAGTTCAGGTTGATTCAGTTCCTGGCCTAAATTACTGAGTAGTCAGAGAGCCATTTCACTGAGATTGTGGGAGGGGTGTAGGGAGACCATACCCAAGAATTGTCAGCCTTGTGGGTAGTATGATGAGTTTAGTTTGAGATTTGTTGAATTTGGGGCTCCTGGGGAACATCTGAGAAGAAATATGAGAAGGAAAGGGGGCATATTATCATTGTTTTACATCTTTATCTTCCCATAGAAATCACTTTCTCCAGAAAGAAAGCACTGGAGTCTAAACAGTGCTGCTCATTAGTGTGACATGATGGAGATGTTCTCGACCAGCATGTGTCTTACAAGTAGCCACTAGTCACATGTGGCCTTTGAACACTTGAAATGTGGCAAGTAAGATTAAGGAACTGAATTTTTTATTTTATCTAACTTTGAATAATTTAAATTTAAATAGCTGCATGTGGCTCGGGGCTCCCATTTTAGACGCTGCAGGTGTAGAGAGATTCATTATGTTTATTTTATTCTCTTTGCTAAGAGAGAAAATTGGGTCAATTCATTTTAGAAACATATCACCAAGATCAGAATAAAAAAGTGAGGAATTAATCAGTGAGCTCAACTAAGACACTCCATATGTCCCTCGAGAAGTGAAAGACCATCATAGTGTAAGTGACGCTGAGCTTTGTCCAGTCCTACACCACCTCATGCACTTTGAATGTATGGATTATGTTGCTGCCACTGAGGAAAATGATAATGACGTAACTAATCTGTTTTTGTTACAGCCAATAGCTGCGAGTATGAAGATCTCCTTAGTAACTGTGATTCCTTGAAGAAAACAGCTGGCTGTGAACATGAATTGCTCAAGGAAAAGTGCAAGGCTACTTGTCGATGTGAAAACAAAATTTACTGAAGTTCCAGTGTGCATTGCGCAAGACTAAGTGGAGAAGGGCTGCATCCTTTTGTTGACACATACCAGAGGGGAAATTATAGGCATGCTAGTTGCAAATTTGATTCCAGACAGCAATGCATCTTTTTCTGTTGGATCTTTACAGAAATCTCTTCCATACAATGATTTACAAAAGCAGAGTAGTCTGTGATGACAACATTGGGCTTTGATGTGAATTTGATACTTTAAATGTAATGAATTGAGTCAAGTTGAAGATTTGAATGCTCTACAACCATAAGACTTAGGTCCTAGAACTTTGGATTAAAATGAAGAATTACGTGTTTCCTGAAACAACATGTCAACAAAAACCAAAAACACTGTAATATCAATGTCATTCCTACTGCATGATTTTTAACATGTATAAAGAATGAATTCAAAGATTGACATCTACCTTTGTCTCATGGCCTCATCTTTCAACAAAAGTTATAAGTAAGAATAAAGAACTTACTACCTGAGCAACCACATAGATGTGATTCTTGTGCCATATTTTATAGTATTCAGAATTAACCCTAGCTCTATTCAGCCTAGATGAATGGTTCTACAGAGCAGAATTTCCAAAATATTTGCCTGTAAAATTAAATTTTAACAAAAAAGGAATCAGTTCTATTCTTGCTTCCTTTTTGCCTTTGACGTTTTGATCTCCTTCCTACCAGTTTAGTTGATAAATTTAAAAAAGGACATTATTTGACAGCATCTACAAATATAGCTTCACATGAAAAAAAAGTAAGAATAAATATTTTACAGAGATTTACCATTTATAAGTCTTTGCATACGTTCTCATTTAAGACTGGTAACAACAAAGTATAGTAGGCCCAATTTATGGATAAGAAAATATATACCAGAAATCTAAAAACAGTGAAGGAGGTGTTGAAAGTAGTCAGAAAATAGGTCTGGCCAGACAAACGGTGAACTAGCATGAGCCACTGATGCCCCCAAGATGAAACAGATTATCCAAATCATCCTATACTCATTAACAAAATAGAATTCATAATTCTAAAGCTTCTAAAACAAAAGTTCCCAGGCCCAGATAGTTTTACTGCAGAATTCTACCAAACATTTAAAGAAGAATTAATACAAATTCTACACAATCTTTTCCAGAAAATTGAATAGGAAGGAACACTCCTCAATATGTTCTTTGAGACTAGTATTATCTTACTACTAAACCCAAGGAAAATACAAGAGGAAAACAAAATGAAATAAAACAATAATCCTTTGACTGCATTTTGCAGATGAGTAAACAAGGATAGGAGGGTTGAGTACCTTGTTCAGACAGAAACAGCCAGCAAACGTCAGAGCACAGACTCAACCCAAAAACAGCCTGACAGAAGCCTCATGTTTTTAAGCAATACACAATGCTGTTTCCTGATCTAGACTAAAATTAACTGACAGTTTGGATTAAATGTGTATTCATGCTGAGTAATTTGAAAAGAAAAATTGGCTTTATATAAAGTTCTTAGGTAGATTACTTGTTCTATGTTCATGGAGATGTTTTATTTTTGACAATGTGGTATTTAAGCCTTGTAATTCAATGGCAGTCAGGCATAGAATACCTCCTTATAACTTCATAAAATTACACAGTGACTCAATCCTATTGACTTCCATTTCTATTATCTTAAAAACTGATTCTGTAATTATAAAAAAGTTGACAAGAAGTAGATTAAACCTTGAAGAGTACTGATTGAGTGAGGGCATGAGGGAGACTTTTGGAATGCTGGTTACACAGCTACACACATACGTAAAAATTAAGTTGACTATATGTCTTTAAGATTTTGTGTGCTATATTATATGCAAGTTATACATTAATTTAAAAAAGAATAAACATGCAGAAGAGATGGAAGCAAGGAGGGATGAAAGGAAGGAAAGAAGAGAAAAAAAGAAAAGAAAATAGATTACCATGATAGAGCACAGAGGCACAGGTTTGGGGAGAAAATGAGGTGTTCAGTTTGGGGCATATTAATATGGGGCATATTATAAGTGGAGGTATGGAGTAGCAGTTGAATATGTGAGCCTGGGATTCAGTCTAGAATGGAAATAAAACTTTGGGAATGATCACTGTATAGACGATGCTTGAAGTCATGATACTATATTAAATTCCTGGGAGTGAGTGAAGCAATATTCTGAATCCCATACCATGCTGAAGCTGGTGAAGATAAGATGTACAGGTCCACCAAGAGTGTCAAAAACAGGAGAAGAACAAAAAAGGATTAAAGAGTGTAATGTAAATGGATGCCAGAGAGACAGATTACTGTATAACTCCTATTTTTTAAAAATTTTTTCTGTCAAAGAGAGAAATCTTTAAACTCTATAATCCAGCACAGTTATCAGAAGAAGGAAAATAGTAATATTTTTTTAATTTTTTTTTAAAGATTTTATTTTTTTATTTTTTCCTTTTTCTCCCCAAAGTCCCCCAGTACATGGCTGTATATTCTTCGCTGTGGGTGCTTCTAGTTGTGGCATGTGGGATGCCACCTCAGCGTGGCTTGATGAGCAGTGCCATGTCCGCGCCCAGCATTCAAACCAACGAAACACTGGGCCGCCTGCAGCGGAGCGCACGAACTTAACCACTCGGCCACGGGGCCAGCCCCAGGAAAATAGTAATGTAATCTGTGAGCAGACAGTAACAAGTCATCTAGATGCTTGGGGGCTATACAAAAGCTTTTTGAAGTGATCGTGGAATCACTATCAGTTAACCTTGAAAAATGAGGAAGGAGAGCAATGCGAGGTGACTGACCTATGACAAATGGAAGAGACAAAAAACATCTTGAAAGCTTGATATTAAGCTGTGGGAAATTCCTACAATTTAAAATATTTTTCTTTTACGTTTTGACATTCTTGAACCATGGTTTCGTAGATAAAACAGAGTGATAAACACACACTTTTAAAAAGATTGTGCTAAACTAAATTTGTTTCTCTTTTCGATAGTCGATGCATATAAATCAGTTGATCCCATTTTATAAAACTATAAGTGTTTGGGAGCCCACAGTTCATCTAAATGCTTAGCAGAATTGCATTCAATTCTTATTAGAACGTGGGGATTACTTGCAAATATTATAATGGGTACTTGAAACTGGTTGGTTGAAAAAAATGCTAATAATAGGGACAATATCAATCTGCAGTTCTCTGTACTTGCTTACACAAATTTCTGACCTCAGTTGGATGCTATTAGTCACTGCTTCCAGTGACTTCCATGGAAGCGGTCAAGTAGGCAGTGCACTGGGTCAGCACTGAGCAACCTCTCAGGAATTTGTAAATAACATTTTATTTCTTAGTTAAACCAAGATTTGACAATGTGATTTTTCAATTTCAATTTCAACTGAAACGTTTGAGAAGCCCCAAAACTCCAGTCAAGGTAACCTATATTTACTCTCCTGAAAATAAGATTGGAATGTAACGATAATTCATTAAATTGAAACTTAATGAGGAAAGACTATGTATTAGACAGGGTGTGTCAGTGTAAGGCAGTGGCCCATAAGAGTTATCTCCCAGCCAGCAGCATCAACTTCACCTGGCAACTTGTTAAAACCTCTGAATCAGAAACTGGGGGTAAGGCCCAGCAATCTATGTTTTAACACATCCTCCGCTAAATCACGCTGAAGTTCAAGACCAAGTGACCGATGGCACAGAATAGGGAAGGCACCAAATTTGGCAGACTCCAATGTAGTCATTAGGGGCCAGTATTCCATGTGGGTCAATGCTCTTTCATTAATCCCATTACGACTTGAATGAAGTGCCTCTCAAAACCCTTTGCCTTTGCTCTACTTTTATGATCAAAGCAGCTTTTTAATTTCATGCTTGACCTTCAAATTGCCGTCACTGTGAAAGAGGAGCCCTTAATGGGAGACATGATCATCCTAAACTTGGACAGATGGCTAATACCTTAAATGACAGAATCAAGAGGAGCAAGCATTGGGAAAGCTGGAATATGGCAGTAAGGAAGACAGAATTGAGGTTCAAAAATCAAGTGTGGATGAACAAGTCGAGCAATACCAGGTGCATGAGTGTCTTATTTGAAAAAGACCTGGAGCTTTTCATTAACTGCAGAAGTGACTTATGACCACAGTAAGACAGCACTACTAATGTGTTGATGTAAGCCTAGAGAGGGAAATATTCACTCAAGACAAATAAAGCCCATTCTACTGTGCATTGTGGAGAACACACCAGAACCCTATATTCTGATGTCAACTTTTAACAGAGCGCTTGAACTAGTGTCCAAATGACGACGATAGGGAGGTGAGGTCTATTAAAACCGTAATCATCCAACAGGACATCCACAGAGCCATTGAGACACCAAATCTGCAGCATCCCACACACGTGAGCATGGCTGCCTCTCACTCAACAATCATTTCTGGAAGACACAGTCATTCCTATACTTGCTTTGGATTTGGCACTATAGACTGTTTAGTGCCACTAGTCTCCCTTTGCAAGTAACAAAACTTGGTAGAAGGAATTAAAGTGGGAAAGGTGCCAACTTGACACTGGTCCTTCTTGAGATATGGTGATCAGAGGCTTTTGGGCAGGGCCTGGCTTTAATGATAAAACATGTGACAGTGACCTCAGGCTGGAGAGTCTCCTCTCTTATCTCCTTCTCTTTAAGTCCTGATGCTATCAGGTTTGCCCCTCCACAATTACAAATATCCCAACCACATAGAAGAAATAGAAGGGGTTGGGGGAGGAACTAGTTATGATATGAGACAGCAAGCCTCACTTGCCACAAGTAACTTCATTTGCCTTCCACTTCTCAGATTAAAAAAGGAGAGTAATAGAGCTATCAGGATTCTTTTCTGGAAAAGATGTAATTAGGTGGAAAATTTTATTCCCCAGAGCTTCAGAAGAACTCTATCCCCATAGAAAAGCAAAGTCTCTTGTTGGACTACACTTCTTCTAATGTGGCCCCATGCTGAAACGGGGACACAACACTGCTCATGGGGTTGTGTATGCCTTATCACCTAGTCAGGTTATACAAGCTCTGTGGAGTCATGGCTGACTTTTCTCGTGTGTTCCCTAAGGCACCCAGCACCCTGTAGAACAATACTTGATGCCCAGGGAATATTTGTTGTGTTGACTTATTTCTAAACACCTTTTCTAGTGCTCTATTTTTGATGTCATTATTTTTGCTTTTAAATTCTGGATGCATTTTTGGTATCCTGACCCTGCAAGTATGAGATGTCAGAGCTTAAAGGGACCTTCCTGGGGCCAGCCCAGTGGCATAGCGGTTGGGTTCATGGGCTCCACTTTTGCGGCCCGGGTTCACCGGGTCAGATCCCAGGCGCAGACAGACACACTGCTCGTCCAGCCATGCTGTGGTAGGCATCCCACATATAGAGTGGAGGGGGGTGGGCACAGATGTTAGCTCGGGGCCAATCTGCCTCAGAAAAAAAAGACCTTCAGAGG